TCATTACTACCGTGTTCCGCACACGGTTTAGTTTCCCGCTTTGAGTTCCTTCTAATTGCCATGTTATACCGCTTCCGGCATCCTCCGTGATATACGTTCCACCGCATGCATGATTCTCTTGGCCTATGGGCTGTCAGTCTTCCTAGAGGGGGAAGTGGGGTAACGATTGCACAGGTTAAGGGGGAAGTGGGGTGACGATTGCACAGAATACCGTAGCGATGGTTCACCATATTGCAAAACCCTCAATTTTTAGCATAGGGCGTGGCTCCCGATGGTCTGCATCCATCCGGTACTTTCCGCGGCTTATCTACAACAAACATCCATTTGTTTCAATCAGAGATTGTTTGCACATTTCGGCACAAGACATTGGACTCCTCTGTGACTTCATGCGGGCAAGCTATGTTATATCTCCAATTCCTTTCCAGCTTGTGAGGCGCACAGCTTATACTGATCATCTTCGCCAGCTGTTTGGATCTTACCTGCTGGTTCCCTTCGTACAGTTGTTTTTGGCAGGGCGCGAGCCCGTTCTCTACCGATTGTTAAAGCGGATAAGTGACAACAATTGGTCAACAAGGGGCCTGCGCCAAACCAAGTTCACTCCCTCCTCCCCCCCCCCCCCCGAACGCGCCTTAGCATACGCAGCGAATAAGACGGTAGCGATATGAGTAGAAACCTTCGGCGTGTGTGGCTTCAGGAGCTTGTAGATGGTAGGACGTAAGAAGGAACACTCTTCTTTTTTGTACATATGAATTCAGAACTCGCCGCAAATTTATGTGTATTCAGTCGCCAAGATCTTTAGAAAACGTGCCTTCACTTATTTTCCGAGCTAGTAGCGCCTTATTTCCTCGCTAAGCCACCATCACGGACGAACTAGCACCGTCGATGATGTACCTTTTCTGCCTTTTCAAAGAATTTATTGTTTCTAAAAACGTTCAGTTTCACATCACCGCATGAAAGATCCAGTTGAGAAAACGAGTGACTTCGAATGAGTCGTGGAAAAAAATGAGCAACAAATAAAAATAGAAATCTCAAGAGGGCAAGATCAGAACCTATGTAAGGCTACCCGTCGATTGAAAATTATAAGAGACCAAGTTCCAGAGGAGTAATCAAAACAATACTGCCGCGTTATGCAAGGCACATTTGGAACCGTAGG